ACACTTTAATAAATAAACCTTTTATTAATTAACCAAAACATCCATACGATATATTTACATTTCTAAAAGGGTTTTAAGTCATAGATATTACAATTTAGGTTATGACAGAAGTCATCGACAACATGCACGTTTCAACCCATTCAATGCTTCAATTAGCTCGTCTTTTGATGTTATAAAATCAACGACAACCAACAACAATCATATCAGGTCTTTAAATTAAGGAACAAGAAATCATGTGTGACTCTGATGAAGATCTTGAATTTCATCAACCATAGCAGAATGCTATTCATTGAAAGTTTAGCTTCCGTAAGGTTTGTGGCTCAAGATCCAGTGGAGCTGATTGAGTACCGAGTGCAATTAGCTAGAAGATTGAGTTTTGTGGAGGAGAGGAATTAGCATACCAGACAAGAGCAGTACTCCATGTAATAGTAAGTTTTTTCCTGTTCCATGGATACCACCATTCTTTGTTGCCTAAATTGAAGGTGGAGTAGGTCTAGTGGTAGCCGTGGGAAAGGAAGGAGAACCTGCAACAGTACTACTAGGAGGAGCCTGCGACAGGTTTGAATGTTACAAAATCAGCATATAAACTAATTCCTGACAAGGGCGATATTGACACGAAAGGCACAATAGCAGACGGATATGTTGGAATTTTACTGAAAGAAGGAGAGGTACTGTGATCTTTAGAAGTGCCTCAATGTTTGGAGATATTGGAGGTAGCAGCCAATGTTAATTCGGACAATTATGTGACAATTAATGACAATATCTTGAAAATACGAGTGAACTTACCATATTCTCCCTTTAGTCTATTGGAATGGATTAATTTGATTTTAATAACGAACAAACGTTGAATTAATTTTTGAATATATATGAAGATACAACCATTATACAAAGACTAAAATATATTACGCAACAGGAAAGAGTACATATAACACAACACGTAGAGCAATATCGTCCTTGTCATTATAAAATTTAAGGCTTTAGAATTATTTGCTATTAAAATTTATAAATATGTTAAAACACATATTTACGTTAATTCACCAAAAAAAGTATTATATTTTTATTTTAAAGTAAAATTTTCTAGGTACTGATTCTCCCAACTCAATCTTGTAAATCTACTGAAGCACAATACATAATGGGTATGGTCTACTTATTCTCCCAACTCAATCTTTTTCACATGAAAGATCTTGTTTATATATCTATATATATGTATGGTTTGGGTTGGTGGGTGCATGAGGGATTCAAATTAATGTTCCCATAATCTTAAATGCATCAAAGAACGTAATAATATAATTAATAACAAAGACTCAAGTGTATGTGATCTAAAATAGGTATCTCTTTCCAACGACAAAGTCCTGAATGAAGTTAAAAGAGGAGATGGTGATTTTACTAGTGAGAGTTGTTGCATTGGGGGCAGGCGCCTATGCTGCCTTCCTTACCAATAATTGAAGCTTAAAAGACTTTAGTTTATTTCAGTTAAGGCACCAATGATGAATGTGGAACCTAGTGGACTCCCTCTTTCCACGTAAGGAAACCGAGGTTGTCAAAGCATGGAGCCAAGTTATTGTCCCTACGCAAAAAATCATGTGTTTTCTTCACATCAAACACACCTCCATAAGTGGATTCCAACTCCTCATTCAACCATAGATTCCCTTACCCGAGTGGTGGGCTTCCCTTTCAAAAACCTAATCAAAAAGTTTATCCTTCTCCGACTCCTTTGAAAGCCAGAAAAGAAATCTATTAAAAATGAGCGAGGTTCTATTCATCTCTAAGGTGGGGTTCCTCGAAATCTAAGTACCCAGTGGGGTACAGTTATGTTCTAATGTTTTCAAGCAATCACACTACTTGCTGTCACATATGTACAAACTAATTAATACTACATATATAACCTTAATTATGCATTAGACTTGTTATTTGTGGGGTTTGTAATTAAAGCTTCCTCCAATGATTGTTCTTTTTCTTTTTTTTCAAAATGCTTGTATGATCAAAAACATACCACAGCTTTTTTAAAAAATAGATTTGAATTAATAAATTGGTATGACTTGTGTCGTATTATGGTGCTAACTCATTTTTCTACTCATAAAAGTGTATCTCTGAAGCATATATTAAAATTCTTTCCAAATCTCTCTCCTTCCTTGTCTGAAAAAAGGTCGTATACGTGTCCATCTTTAGTATGCCAAAACGGAGGCAAGCGTCCATCTTTAGGATGCCAAAATGGAGGCAGGTATCAACCTAAGCAAGCAAACAGTTTAAATTTGATTATCACATAATAGTATTATATATATATATATATATATATACACTTCTAATAAATAACTCTTAGATGCATTTGCTCAGAGGACTTTCTTTACAATGGATGAATTTTGAGCATTTGAACACAGCCAGAGCCATTTTAAAACACGATTTTATAATGTTTATTCAATTTGTTTCCAATAAGAGAGGACTCATCATAGACACCTAGAAAAGAAAAGAAAAAGCTTCGATCAATTTGTTTCCAATAAGAGAGGACTGGTCATAGAGGCAACCTTGGGAGTGGTTAGGCTTTCTCTTGGAATCTGAGAAAGTAGAAAAGAAAGGAATTTAACCTAGCTACTGGAATCAATAATTCCCAACATTGGAAAAATTATTGTTCCATGATCACATTGGCAGATACAAAATCCACCTTGATATATGGATATAACTGTTTACCAGAACGTGCATGAGATATTATAGCTAGCTTTGATCATTGCACTTATAATTAGTATATCTACTTAGTTTTTACGTTATCATGATTCGTACATCCATGTTTCAAGGCCAGGATGCAAAAAAATATATCCATTGTATGTCTTAATCGAGATAAAAAAACGATCAAGAGACTTAGCTAGGAGTGTTGTATATAGCACCTTGTAAAGAAGAAAAAAAAACTCAAAATAAGATAGCACATACAACATTTTTTTGGATCATCTGTCTCTTGGATCATCCGTCTCATAAGTCTCACCTTTTGACTCAGCATGAAGATAATTAAAGTAAAAGAGGAAAGTTTAATCTATAACATGGGGCCTGCAAATTGCCAAAGCTCCAAATGATCAAATCATAAATGGAAACGATAATCTTATCTCCAAATTATGGATTTGTCAGTGAGCTAGCTATGAAAAGTTCTATCTACATACCTTTTCTTTTTCTTACATTGCATTTACCATAAATTTTGTAATCAGTGAGGCGTCCCTCCTGTAGCGCTAAAATAGAGATTCTTGTGAACTTAATCAGTGTTGATGCTAAAGAATGTTACTTAATAATGATTGATCTGTACTAAATGTATATGGTTATGGTGGTCTATCATTTAAGATCAATAATTCATGTTTGTGCTGCTAAATGGCCATGCCAACCTATCTTCTTGGAAAGATAAAGCCCTTTAATTTTCTTGAGTCAGAATATTTGCCATACAAGGCTTTTCTTTCTTTGTATCTAGTAATTGATCATTGGCATCATCTTTTCTTTATAACTTTCATACCTTCCAAATATATTGTAAAGAGTATATATACAAGTAGTTCTTGATGAGTGATGGGGGATAATATTATTGAGTGCATTGTGGAAAACAACAAAAAGAAAGGCAGCTTCGAAGCCTTCCCACCTTTCCGGAAAAAGATAGATGGCCTTTGAGATTCTTCTAACTGATCCATTTTAAGATTTGAAAAACAGTTACCTCATGATACCTTTCCTCTCCAACCTTCTAGCAGGGGTAGCCTTGGAAATTATGAGGAAAGGAATATTCACAACGCTGGCTACCATGGGCATAAAGACCTTTCTCTTACAAGCATTGTTTTTGAAAAACTTGTACTACATTATTGAGCAAATGTAGCAAAATTTCAAGGCAATTATGATGTAAAATTAGAGAGCTGTTCTTTGTCTATTGGAAAGTTCCCTTTGAACCAAACATTAATCTGCACATATAGCTGAAAGAAGAAGGTTTCAAAAGACGTGTGTTTTCATAAACACTATTGATCGCATGGTTGTACAAAATCTTCTTTCTAACCATTTATGTTACTAAAATAATTGATTTCTAAACTATGTATTACATCAATATAATTTAAAATATAAACAAAAAAGGCATTAAAGATCAGGAATTAAGTTATTAATTTGCTCATATCAACACTGTCTCGGGGCTTTGTTTGGGATCTGAGGTCCCAAACACATGCACGTGTTTGAGCCAAAGCATGCCAAGAGCCCAAGCTGCAATAGTAACAATAATGTGAGGCCACACCTTTGGATGCTAATCAGACCCAAACATATTTTAGTTTTTGGTTTGGTCAAACGCAATGCCACACGCACTCTTAAATTGTTCATCGAGCTAATGTTCTGTAGTTTGATAATGAGACTATTAATTAGATGATGTGTAACGTTAAATATGTTGTTACATCATTCTCTCAAGAACAACATAAAAATTGCAAAGAAGTAGAGATTAATTAGTACTGTTGGCCAAACAAAAAAGAAAAATAAATAAATATTTTAGGATGGTTAAAGATGAAATATTGAAAACTCTAATGAAGACTGTAACTTGAAAGTAATTCTGAACTGCAGGTTAACATGAATTTAGTTCCCACACATATATATTTTCTTAGAGATGACAACTGAATGCCTTAGAATGAAATTATTCTCGTATAATAATGGAATATTAACTAATTATGGAAAATATGATCATCTGTAGCTCCCCATATGCGCTATATATATATATATATATATGAGGAGACTATAATATTGTTTAATTATTGGCTAGGTTTGGTTGTGGTGAGTAGTACATTTTCGTACACACTCAATTTAAAATAAATCTTTTTATTTTACGATCTATATATGTGCTCGAGTAATGTAGAAGAGAGATAAAAATATACATGCATTTAGATTAATTATTAGCAAGTTACAGATCTTAATTCCCCATGTACCCAGCCGGCAAGTTCCTTCCTACTTTTCTTGTTCTTACTTCGTAACCTTGAACAAGAAAATTACATAGTCTAACATCCCACCCTTAATTACATTTCTTGAAGGGGTGGGTATATCTGTACTGTTTCAATTTTTCTACTACTCTTTACACCCCTGACTGCCCTTGAAAAACTGGCCGTTTCCACTCCACTAGACGTTGCAAAAAATCCATAACCTGTAAGAATATTCGAAACTCATAAGCTATGTGGCTGGCATAGCTAGGTGCTACCGAAAAGAAAAGAAGTCTACAGAAAGTGAAATATAGATAAACAAAAGAAGAATTATGCATGTATCGGAGACTTGCCTGAGTGGGTTCTTGTAGGGAATAAGATGCACTAGTTTCCTTTGGACATTTAGAGACCAAGATACCAAAACCTTGTCCTCTTTCTCTCAGTACCTAAAAAAAAAAAAACACAGTATTAGTCTTAAAAGATCTGAATTAAAGTTTGATGAAGAAAGACAAATTTATTTTTTATTTTTTATTTTTTTAAGCATTGGATACCTTAAATGCATCTTCATCTGTTTTATCATCTCCGATGTAAACAGGAAAAACATCAGCGCAATTGGCGAATCCTGTAAGAGAAATTAATTAGTAGAGTTAGAGGTAATTAATTAAAATACATTATTTTATTTTATTTTAATTCGTGATTATTATCCATCAAGTACAGGAAAGCAAAAAAGAAAACAACAATAAACTTACCAAGTGACTCTAACAAAAATTCAAGAGCCTTTCCTTTGTCCCATTTAATGGTTGGGCGGATTTCTAAAACCTGTGTAAAACAAAATGGTCTGAAAGTGAGACATCCCTTATTTTATATACTCACAAATATTACAAAATTAAGAAATAAATAAAAGACTGTTAATTTATTTATTATTAAATGCCATGCCACACCTTTCTTCCTTGTGTAAGTCGAAGCTTTGGGTACTCCTTCAACACTGACTTCACTACTTGAGCCACTTCACTCCATTTCTATATATATTTTTCATGCATCAAAGTTAAGTTAAAATAATATTATTAATACAACAGTAAATATTAATATAATAGTAGTAGTGATATTATTTGGTGCTTGACTCCTACCTTCTCGTCAACACAGCGATAGTGCACAGATACACAAAATTTGTTGTTCTCCACCTTAGCCCCTGGAGTTGTTTTAGTTTTCTCTACCAATTCCTTGTAAACCTGAAAACCCATTATCAAAATAATGTAAATATTGACATCCTCCATTCTTTTATTATCATTTTTTTCCCCTGGTAACTACTAAGTAAATTACCTCATCTATTATGGGAAGAAATTCACCGGCAGCTTGAAAGACAACACCTTCACTGCCCTGAAGAAAACAAACACAAAAGACAAAAGAATTTCTATCATCTTTGAGAAAAAAAAAAAAACAAAATTAATTAGTTTACGGTACTTGCAAATACAGTCGTAAAGCTCACTCACTTTCTTATATTTGGAGCCTTTTGCTGGTCCTTTAATATCCATGCCATGGCTTCCAGCATAATACAGTTCTGCCAACCGTACGAAGTTATACACCTATAAAATATAAACAAAGGTTACAAAATTAAATTACTGGCCACACGAAAAGCCAAAGCATTTTGCACTCATTATCCTCATATTGCGTTCAAAAAAGAAAAGAATCAAAAGAAAAGGCTTCAAAATGTACCTTGTCCCTGCACCTGCCACTCACTATTGCAGTAGGGAAAAATCTTGCAAGCTTTCTCACTGTTGCTCTCATCTAATTTTCACCACAACAGAAAACTTCAGTAACAATAACAAGAGACATGGGAGAGGTAGAGTCCAAAAAGGGACTAAATACCAACCTGCTTGGACATGAAAGCTCTATCTGGATCATCGACAATAGGAGAAAGTGTGCCGTCATAGTCCAAAAACATGACAATTTGCTTTCCTTTAGAGGCATCAATTATCTGCTCAAACATCTCCAAAGCTGATGGGTGGTGAAGCTGCAAATACCACGTTAAAAAATTAAGTTAACACGAGTCATCATTTGATAATTGCAAAAATGGTCATTTCTTGAGCTTATATTCGTATAAAGATTAAGCTTTTTTTGAGGGTTTTTTTTTTCTTTTGTACTCACAATCCATGAGCTTTGGTCTTCATTAACTGAAGGTGTGGACTTGATATGAGTAGGTGAAGAGGCTCTCATGGAATCAACCCAAGCATTAACCCTTGCTCCTCCATGAATTTCGAGATTCTTTAAAAGTTTCTTTCTAGAAATGGAGATGTAACCACCAGGAGCCGCCGGAGGTTTCTGCGCCGACGTAGTGAAGATAGAGGAGTTTGTTACATGCACTGTGATTTCCAAGTTGATTCCAGAATTTCTATCAGCCACTACGACATTTTGGTTCGTCATCTTTCCTCTACAAAAACAACCCAAAATCACATTTTCTTTCAAATTAGTATACCCAAGATTTTGAAGCCAATCAAGAATATAAAATCGAGAATCATGAAAACCCATTTGAGAAAACTACACTTTTATAAGGTTCTTGAATAATACCTTAATAGAAGACAGTAATATTAGAAGCTAGAGCAATTAAACTGTAGTGGAGAAGAAACAGAGGAATTAAAACAGAGTGCTCTGTTTGATCACTCTTTAAGCTTCAAGAAGAGATATAGAGAACAAACAAGAGAGTAGAGATAGAGAAAGTAAAAACAGAGAGGCAAAGAAACAGTTCACAAAGAATTGTGGAGAGAGAGAGAGAGAGAGGGAGGGAGTAATGTATGCTTGCAAGAGAGACGGAGCCGAATGGTCGATTTATAGTTGCCAACCAAGACGGACGAGAAGGCCTCATGCACTCTCTCCTTCCTAAACTCCAAGCTGTGGGACCCACAACACGGCCCACCACCCGAAATCCTGAAGTGGGACCCACACGTGCCTTTGGCCCCTAGCCGTCTTCCATAACTTCCTTGCCAGCTAACGGTGTGTGTACGTGGAAGACATTCTTTGGCTGACTTGACTCCTGTGGGTTCCTGCCACGTGTAAATACTCACATGCCAAGACCCACCCACTCACATACACCTGCACCTTCGGATGCAACACAATTTGCCAAAAAAAAAAAAAAAAAAAAACTACCCTCTTAAGTCTTAACCCCTCTCTCTCTCTCTCTTACGTGGAAACCAAACCACAGGAGAAAGGTATTGATCCGTATAGTCTTGACCCTTCTTCCCCGTCCTTAAACTAGGAATGTGATGGTCGCCAAATTGTAGGGGTCAGGGTGCTTGAAAACGCCCCTTGTAATCACAAACAAAACCAACACCTCAAACCTACCAAGTTGTATGCTATTCTGCAAAACCACCAGCGATCTATCTATCTAACCCTTTATGGTCTTCGATTTTAGAATTTTTAATTTGAACAGAAACAGTCCGTGCATCTTTTGCTTGCAGCCATTCCAAAAAATAATGTTTTTATTGATTGGTATATAAATGCACTAATTAAAACGAATAAACAGCTAAGAGATTACGATTATATATATATATATATATATAAGCTAGATAAATGTTAGTTCTCATGCTTATGAACACATGCAGCCTTCGGTTTTAATTAATTATCATTTTCAAATTATCTCACTAATTTGCCAATGTAATCATTGAGTTATATAAATCCTAAAGTTCTGTAATTTATGCTTTGCTAACTTTTTTTTTCATAAATACATTGCTTCTTTTTAAAATGTCAAGCGTTTCAGTTTTAATTCTTTGATATGTTTATTAGAAAATGATATAAATCATATCTTAAACTTCATTTAATATGTTAGATTTTTAGGTAAGATAATCTTTTGACATGATATCGAGTTTTAATAATCAAAAGGTCATGAATTTGAATCTTATTATCTCTATTTTTCTTCTAATTAATTAATTAAATATAAGGTAGTATAATTCTATGAGTTTTCATCTAAAGCTTAAAATTTTAGATAAAATGATCATTTGATAATATTTGCATCAAAATTTTCACGTCATTTCAAATTGACAATAGTCTATGAAAAATAATATTTTTTTCTTATTATAACCAAAAAATTCAAAGAATAATAGAACATAGATTTTTTGCAAGTGCATGAACTAACACATACACACACACACAAAATGTTTTAAATTCTAAAACTCAAAGATAAATTACTGAAAGACTATTTAAGAAATAAATATGAACTAATTAGAGCAGTAAAACACTATATTACTTTCTTTCTTTCTTTTCCTTTGAGAGGCCGAGACCGTACTTCTAGCAATAATTTTGCTGAAATTTTTATTTTAATTAATTCGATAAATACTTTATATTTTTGGCTTTGTGAATTAGTGATATTTAATTCTGCGTGGTTTCTAGATTGAATTTTTCTTCGTTTATATAGCTATAACTGAAATATTGACTTTGCAACGAATGAATCAAATTTCATTGACTTTGTACTCAAGTATATGTTGTTATGGTAATTTGGTAGGCAACGCACCTTTTCAAGAAAAGAAAAGAAAAGAAAAATGGTAGGCATCACAGTCCCCAAACAGAACTTTAGTAGGTTGAGTTGGATAGATTACCACCACATAGCATACCCAAAACTTTAGTAGTACATTTGTTTGACTATGGAAAGATCCATACCATTCCTAGATTTATAATTTAGTACAATTGACTTATAAAGCAAATCAACCAAATACTTTACATAGGAAAAAAAAATCTGCATTAGTAAAGTGGTTAAAAAAATTGAAGGAGCCATTATTTTTTTATTTCTTTTTAATCCTCACCAAAAACAACGTTGTCTTATAGATAAATTTTTTTTTTCCTATATTGTCGCATAATTCTTATGCTTTCCAAGTTCCAACTCAACCAAGCAAATTAGAAAAAACAAAAACTCTTCAAACAACTCTTTAGAAACCATGATTAGGGATTTAAGCGATCAATCATAATACAAGGATTTACTATATCACCTTATGATAATATTAGGGTTTATTGTACCAACATAATTTTAATTCACAAAAATAGTTTTTATTTTTGATAAAAATCGATATTAAATTTTAAAAAAAATAGAAAATCAATTGATAACTAACAAAATTATAGAGTTTTGACATACAAAGAAAGAATCATAAATTTAAAGAATAAATCTTACATATCATAACCAAACTATGAGATCATTGTTTCTATAAAGACTTCTATTAATTAAAAAAAATCTATCATTACATTCATTTTCTTGAAGTGATTAAAAAGGATATGACTAAGGACATAATCATAGCATCAATATAGTCAAAAAGACTCTATAGTCACCAAATCTTAATATGAAACTTTTTTATTTATCCAAATAACAACATTAATTGAATTTGATTCAATAATTCAATTAACTTGGTGAGAATATGTGAAAGCGATTTTTTGATAACCGGAATCTCAACCTCATTCAACTGATTAATTCTCATTGGAATAAAATACGTACACCAAGAAAATTTCTTTATGATTTCTTAAAACTCTTTCAAAACTTAAAATTTCAAAATTGTACGGAGACAAACCATCTATATTCTATTTCAAGGAGTCTAGATTAGGTTTTTACCAAACAATTAGCGACTAACGCCTAGGATGATTAGTTTATTTTTACAATATGAACATTGCTCAAGATTGTTTCTAGTACACATAGGTAAAATCGTCATCCATAAATTTCATCTAGTAAACTACTCGTGAAAAAAACTAGAGAAAAAATTTATTCTCAATTTGATATTATATCATTGAAGATCCTGTTATTTCTTGCTAACCAAAATGACCAAAGTGCTACATTAAAAATTAAGAACCAAACCTTTTTTTCTAAATAAGACTATGACTAAAAAATTCTCATTAGTGAAACAAATCATTGATTGATCCTAACATAACCCAAGAACCTCCATACCAAGACATAATCCGACTTCACAAAACCCACACAACATCACAATAGAGAAGAAGATGTTGAGTTGTCTTCAATCTAGAAGAACCTCCACACCAAGTCATAATCTAACTCCACAAAACCCATACAACATCATGATAGAGAAGAAGATGTTGAGTTGTCTTCGATTTAGAACTATAAAAAAGACAAATTTAGCATCCTCGACTTTTACCTTTTGCAACCAAGTAAAGGCTTAAACCTTTGCTTGGAGCAAGGTTTAACCATATATAGGAGCAAATTATTAGATCTCTATTAAGCAAAGAACAATAAGATTTGATTGAATAAACGTCTTTGTTATCATAAAACCATATGATATTATCAATAGTCTCATTATGCAAATGAATACCAAAAATATCATTTAAGACTAAATATTCTTGTTGCCTCTCATTTGACCGAAGAGGCCTCTTTCATCTAAATTTCCAAGACTAATAAAAATCAGTCTAAAAGCTTATATCCGCCACTTTACATAATCTTTCATCAACTAAATTATCTTTTTGAGTTGTATTTATTTTCTAAATTCGGATGACTAAAATAATAAGGAAAAAAAAAAGGATTTTCAGCTCGAGTTTAAACAAACAAGTAGTTCAAAAGACAAAATCAAACAAATATCAATTAAATAACAAAAAATCCTATCCAAGAGTAAATTTTACCATCAAATTACAAGTCGATCATTGACGATACTTAAAGACATTTTTCATGATTTACCATTTTGTTTATACTATCTTAAAAACCATAAATTAACTATGTTCTTCTTACTTAATCATTAAATACAAAAAGTATGCAATTTGAATACTTATTATCAAACTATATAAGACAAGCTTTCTACATGTAATTCAACAATAAAATTAACGAATTAAAGAACAAACAAAATAGATAATCAACATATAAGCTTGATTGATTTAATCTATACTCTTTTCTTTTATACTTATAATGATATCAATATTAGAAATTACTAAACTCTATTGCTATTATGAATAGGTTTTACAACTATTACGTATTATAAACTCTAACTAGCAATTATTCGTTGATCACAATTACTTAGTAAGCCTTTTAAGTAATTAAAAGCAAGAATATTAGTCAATTAATTCACAAGAAAAAGAGATAGTAAAGATAAATAGACTATTAAATCAAATTAAAAAATCTCACGACTTGTTTTTTGAAGTCACGTTTTTTTTAATCGAAAAAATTAAGCCTTATATATTTAAGAAGAATTCGAGAAAATAAAATAAGCTCTCTTGTTAATCTAATATGTTTTAAATGTGCACCTCTAAAGGTTATTTATATATGTGTATAGATAGATATGACGACCTACGAGTCCTATTTAGGATTGTTTTCGAAATTAATTAGGACTTGTGACTAAATAGAACTCTAAGTTCTATATTATAGATTATAAACTTATTTCCGATTAGATGGTGGCAGAATTTGGTCTTTGGCTCTTCATAAAAGTTGTAGGCTTGGATGTCTTATTTTTATAATCTTTTTAATCATCTTAATTAAATCTTTATAACTCTAGATATGATCCAAACACTAGGTAGTGTTTCGGATTGTCAAGAGATCCGAATTCATTATCCGATTTTAT